ATTGTTATATATAATTATATATAGTTATATATAATTATACATAATTATATATAATTAGATATGATTATATTTGGCCATTTTTCATATATAATCATATATAACCAATTTATATATAAATATATATAATTATATATAAATATTTTTTCTCGGGTTGTAATTTGTCAAAAAAATTTTTTTTTCGATGACTGGAATACACGAGGACGTCTATACAAGATATTACCGACTTATTTCAAGAGGACTTATTTTAAAAATAAAAATTCTTGGATTTCCGGTATTTTCTGTCTCATCAAAAAAGAGTCTCAAGTATGTTTTAGAATAAATTGACGTAAAAATTTCGTTTTTTTTTTTAAGATTTATATGTTACACTAGTCACAAAAATTAAGGGATATAAAAAAAATTCGAAATTTTTGAGTGATTTTCAACGAGCTGTAACTCCGAGGAAAATGGTCGTACTGAAAAAATAAAAAAAAACAAATTGTAACTCGAAGTGTCTAGTTTTCAGACATGACCATGAAAATTTTTTGTCCTGTCCAGGTCTGGAGAAATCCTAAGAAAACTACCGAAAAAAAATTTTTCCAAATTTTTTCTCGTCTAAAAAAAGGTCTACGGGCATCAAAAAAATTTTTTTCCATTGTTTCTTTATAAAGCTCTTTTAGAATATTTAATACCCTTTAATTTGACATAATCAAAAAGACTGTACGATGATTTGCCGCGGAGTTATCGTCAATCAAAGCAAAAAAGTTTTTTTTGACTTTGATAATCAATAACTCTGGAAATAATGATCGTATTGGGGAACTGAGGATTTAAATACGCTGCCTGGTGGTTTAAATTCAAACTAGCGATTGTAGGATAGAATCATGTTTAACACAATGTTAATATCAATAAAATAGCAAAATACAGTGTAATTTTTATTAAAAAAAAAAAAATAAGCAATACAAAAAGTGAATTTCGTAATCATACATTTATAAAAAATATACGTACATCAATATAATTATAAAAATGGAATTTTCTCCACATAAAAATAAAGAATTGATGGTGTAAACTATTTACAAAAAAAAAAAAAACATCAATAAAATAATTAATTAAAATAAAAATTATTTAAAAATGTTTTGCTAAAGCTGATGAAGAATTTTCTTCGACCATTATTTTAAGAAATTCTTCATATTGTGCTTCATCTAATTCAGTTAAACCCATGCTTAAACATACTGGAGGATCAGTAGCAGCTTCTTTTGGAGTGACGTATTTGCCTTAGAGTGATCTGATAGATTTCTTCATTTTAACTTTATCTTCATCTTTTTTTTTTTGTTTTTCTTCAACACATTTGTGTTGAAATAAAAGCTTCGCCTCATATTTTTCAAGAGCTGATTTATAAGGTGCATTCCAGGCACATTTCTTATCTGTACACGTAATATCTTTGAAATCTTCAAAGTTATTTCTGTAAGTACAGAATAATAGAATCAATAATTTAATAAATATTTAATAATTTTAGAGTTTATTGATTAACAATAGAAAGAAAGATAAAGTCATAATTACCGGTTACAAAATAAAAGTACTACCACAATATGTTTGCAAGTACTTCCCAATCCAGCCTTGCAAGAGGATTCCATACCAATTATTTTTCCGTTCTTTGAGAATTGAGCATTTATTTCATGAGGTTAATTTGTTAAACCAGCTGTTTGTAAGCAAAAAGCAAGGATATGATAAACATCACTGTCATATCACTATGATTCACTTTCCCACAATTCTACATAATAAATGACCACAATCAATAATATTTTCTCCATCAATAAAATTCTTACTAGCAGCTGTAGCTGAAGTAAATTTACAAATTTCTTGTAAGTTTACACGCATTTTTAATTAAATTTTGGTCACACGCAATTTTTAATTTAATTTTATATCCTATCTACACGTTTATTTACAAGCACCAGCTGTATCCAGAATTCTACAATCGCTAGTTTATTTTTTAACCACCAGACGGCCAAAAATTAAGCCACGCCTCTCCCTCTCTCCCACGGATCCCAATAAATTCTAAATTCTCAAAATTTAAAACTAAACGCCTAACTTTAACTAACGCGCATATGCAGCCGGTCTTTGAGGTAATCACCGTGTGGGAGCACTCCAGTCTCTCAGTTATTATTCTAACCAATAAAAATACTTCTAATTCTATAAACAATACATGATTAAATAAAATGTGTGGAGTAAAAATATATAAATAAAAATAGATTAATTAGTTATTAATTCAATATGATTTGGTTAGTGTGCTTGATAATAAATATTTTGTATTTAAAATGTTCGGCAACACGTAAGTTATTTTATTGATATTTTTTTTTTTATTTATTTTGACACTTAATGATTTTATTTTTATTATAAAATAAACTTAAGCTATTTAATAATTTTTTTAACAAATAAATTATGGAAAAGAAAAATTGACATGTAAAAATTAAAAAAACAATTTACTTATTTATAAAAATTTTTAATAAAAAAATTGTCACGTGTCTAAATTTAAATACAATTACTAAAATTAAATAACTTTATTAGATGTAGAGTCTCAAGGATACTGTGCGATATACACTGGAAAAATATGTAAAAAATACCTGACAGGAATTGGTAAAGTTTGGTTCAATGATACAGCTGATAATCCTGGATCTTGGCTTAATGAACAGATAACTAGTGACTTGTGGGAGGAATTAATTTTTCCACTAAGAGAACCTTGTCGTTCTGCTGCCGAGGTATTTTTTTTTTTTTTTTTAATTAATTGTTATTATTATTATTATTGTAAAAAATTATTTATTTATTTATTTATTTATTTTTGTGATTTTAAAAACAGAAAATGCTATGCATGTACGCATTTCCACTCTGTCACAATTCGGAGCGCTTGCCGCTCTGTTATGAAGACTGCATGGCGATACGTCATGAGTTTTGCTTCAACGACTGGGCTTTGATTGAAGATAATAAACAACGAGGGATTTATATCAGATCTCGCGGGCATTTTCGACTGCCCGACTGTGACATTTTGCCGAAATTAAATGACAAGTCTGTTGTTTGTTCTCACATTCATTTGACTGATGTTAATCAAGATTTAGTTACTTGTAAGTATTTTTAAAAAATTAAATTTGACAGCTGATAATTTTTTTATTATTATTATTATAAAATTAATTTTTTTTTAGATGACTGTGTGATAGAAAATGGACGTTACTATATGGGTAAAATGAACAAAACTAAAAATGGACTGGACTGTCAATCATGGAATGTCCAAGAGCCACACAGCCACAACAAACCTCCAAATGTTTTTCCACAAATTCGTCACGGAGAAAATTATTGTAGAAATGCTGGAGGCGATGAACGTATGCCCTGGTGTTTTACTATGGATCCAACAGTTCGTTGGCAACATTGTGATATTCCTATTTGTGGTAATTATTAATTATTAAAAAATTATGAAAATTAAGTTAGCCGACATTTCAAAATTTTTATAAATTTTTTATTAAAAAACTTTTAATTAAAAAAACTTATAAAAAAAATTGTCACATGTAGAAAACTTAAAAATCTATAAGTGCAATTTTTTAGAAAAATTTTTTTAGTTGTAATTTAATTAATAAAAAAAAATCAAAAATTTTTAGACGTCTGCTAAGTTCAGTGTCATAAAAAATTTTGTTTAACAAAATTAAATAATTTTTAGGTTTATTTAATTGAATTATTTTTATTAAATTTTTTTATTACAGATAATTCAACAGATTTTGTCTGGGAAACTGAACGAAAAAATATAACAATGGAAACAGTATTTACTCCAACATTCACCATGATATTATCAGCCCTAGGATTTATTGTAATAGTAGGATCATTATTAGGAATATTTTTAAGCCAAAAATTCAAGAAAAATCCTTCAGGTTACAATTCACCAGAAAGCAGAGTAATTATTTTTTCTTTACCTCTTTTTTTTTTTTTTTAAATTTATTAATTTTTTCCCAGGATAAATTGAACTTGATAATTTATTTGATTTAATCCTCTATAAAAAGGTCTTTCATTTTTATTTATTTCATTATTTTAGTCAAAAATACCAATTTAAACTTTTGAAAACTAAGGACAAGTCCTCAAACTTGATTTTTTAATTAAAAATTCAAATATTGCCCAAAAAATGATTTATAGAGCAAAATTAACAAGGTTCTTTGATTATACTTTCGATATTTCACCTGAAAATTACACTTTGAACATTTTAAAATTACAGACAAGTCCTTAAACTTGATTTTTTAATTAAAAATTTAAATTTTGCACAAAAAAATTCAAAATAGAGTAAAATTGATAATCTTTTTTTATAAAAAATTAAATTCTCTATAAAAAAAAGTTCTCTTATTTTTTCGTACCTTCAATATTTTACCCAAAAACGACACTTTAAACTTTTGAAAATTACGGACACGTCCTTAAACTTGATTTTTTAATTAAAAATACAAATATTGGCCAAAAAATGAGAGATAGGGTAAAATTAACTAGGAGCTTTTCTTATATTTTCAATATTTTATCCAAAAATGTAACTTTAAACATTTTAAAAACTACGGACAAGTCCTTAAAGTTGATTTTTTAATTAAAAATTCAAATTTTAAATATAAAAATCAAGACAAAGTCGATTTGATGACCCTTCTTTACCGGAAATTAAATTCTCTATAAAAAAAAATTCTTTTATTTTTTTTTATCTTTAATATTTTAGCCAAAAACGACTTTAAACTTTTAAAAACTACGGACAAGTCCTTAAACTTGATTTATTAATTAAAAATTCAAATTTTTTAGCAAAAATTTAAACTAAAGCTAAATTAAAGACTTCTAATCATTTTAGATTTTTAAAAATTACGGACAAGTCCTTAAAATTGATTTCTTATTAAAAAAAATTCAAATTTTTGAGCGAAAATTTAAAATAAAGCTAAATTAAAGATTTTTAATCATTTTAAACTTTAAAAAATTACGGACAAGTCCTTAAACTTGATTTTTTATTAAAAAATTCAAATTTTTTAACAAAATTAAAGAGCTCTAATCAAAAAAGCCCACCAAATTTTCCAAATAAAATTTTTTACTAACTAAAAACAATTTTCAGGACGTCAATATCGACTTAGACAAGCTCCCAAGCAACGACGCGTACCACAAAACAGGCGCTCAACTAAACCCCAAGTTAGAAAAACTAGAGTTTCCCCGGAACAACATAATCTACGTGCGCGACCTAGGTCAGGGTGCTTTTGGGCGAGTGTTCCAAGCAAAAGCCCCCGGCTTGATCCCCAATGAAGAATTCACCAACGTAGCAGTAAAAATGTTGAAGGAGGAAGCCTCCGAAGACCTTTTGGTAGACTTTGAGCGTGAAGCTTGTCTCCTAGCAGAATTTGACCACCCTAACATAGTAAAGCTCCTAGGAGTCTGCGCTCTAGGTCGACCTATGTGTCTATTATTCGAGTACATGGGCCGTGGAGATCTTAATGAATTTTTGCGGTCTTGCTCTCCAGAATCTTCAATGCTAAACACAAATTTAAATTCTAATTTAAATTTAAATCAAAATTGTAATTTAAAATTAGCACACATGGATCTAATTAACATAGCTAGACAAGTCGCCTCAGGCATGGTCTACCTCTCGGACCGTAAATTTGTCCATCGAGACCTTGCAACAAGAAATTGTTTAATTAACAATGAGATGGTTGTTAAAATTGCGGACTTTGGACTGTCCCAAAAAATTTACCTTCAAGATTATTACAAAGGCGACGACTCTGATGCAATTCCCGTCAGGTGGATGCCCTTAGAGAGTATTTTGTACAATAAATACACAATTGAGTCAGATGTTTGGGCTTTTGCGGTTTGTCTATGGGAGATTTTTAGCTTCGCGCTACAACCTTACTATGGAATGACTCATGAGGAAGTCGTGAAGTATATTAAAGAGGGAAATGTTCTAGGGTACCCGGATAATACTCCTCATGATGTTTATCAACTTATGAAGGCTTGTTGGAATAGAAAACCGGTTGATAGACCGTCTTTTAGGAAAATTTATGAAAAGCTGGAGGTTATTAAAGCCAGAATGGAGAGGGAGAATAAGGAGGACAGTATTGCGTTACATATTAGACTTTAGGTAATTAAGGATATTTTTTTTTGGAAATTTGGTTATTGTTCTTTATGAATTTTTGAATCTTACAACTTTTTGGAAATTTTTAAAAATTATTTTTTATACACTGATAGAAGGATTTATTAATTATTGATAGGTTGATTTGAATATTTTTTAATATTCAATAAATATTTATTTGTATCTTGTGAACTATTGACATTTTTAAAGATATAAGCTCATCTTGATGTTACATTTATTAAGAGCTTTCATTTGAGTACCCACATTAATTTTTCATATATTTTATATATTTATATATGAAAATGACATGTGGGTACTTAAATTAAAGGTCTCGATGAGGGTAACATTAAAATGAGTTTATATCTTGAAAAATTTCAATAATTAAGAAATAACCTTGTATTTTGTGAACCATTGACATTTTTAAAGATATAAGCTCATCTTAGTGATACATTTATTGAGAGCTCTCATTTGAATACCCACATCAATTTTTCATATATTTATATATATTATATATATATGTATATATAAAAATATATCAAAAATGCATGTGGGTACTCAAATGAAAGCTCTTGATGAGTATACCATCAAAATGAGCTTATATTTTAAAAATATATATTATATATATGTATACATGAAAAATATATCAAAAATGCATGTGGGTATTCAAATGAAAGCTCTTGATGAGTATACCATCAAAATGAGCTTATATCTTAAAAAATGTCAATAATTAAGAAAGTACAGTACATTTTAACAAAAGTCATTATTTAATTAAGCAAAATTCAATTTTTTTATAGTTCATAAGTCAACAAATCCTTCTATCAGTGTATTAATCAATTTTATTCTTAATAAAATACTCATTTTTTTTTTTTATTTTGTATATAATTGTTTTATGACTGAATTTTAATGTATGTTGATAAATAATTTTTACAATTATTATCAACACACTTGATATTATTAATTCTAAGTGATATTTTCTTTTACATTAAAATTTTAATGACACATGTACTTGATGTAATATATAAAGGTTGTCTTTTATACGGGAAAAATATATACACTGTCTTGATAAAAATGTTTCTTTGTACGATTGATTTTTGTTAATAAAAACTAAAAAAAAATTCACACTTGTTTTTATTAATATTAATGATTAATAATTAAACAGGAGTTATTTTTTCAATAATTATTTATTGCACAATTTAAAAGAAAAATTCAAAAAAAAAAAAATAAACTAAAAAATGTCTACTAAACTAAAATTATTGAAATAATGAAGATCATTACAGTATGAGCAATTAAATTCATACATACATATATTTATATGTATAAATATTTTTATTATTATAATAATTAAATTATCAATAATCGTTGTAAATATACAGCAATTATAAATAAAATGCGAGCTAATTTTAACTAATTAATTAATAATGGAAATATAATTTTTTCTAAGACTAGGATTTAATAGGCCAAATATTAAATAGAGAACTTGCTTCGTGATTTTTTAATTAAGAAATGACCTTGTATCTTGTAGATTATTGACATTTTTAAAGATATAAGCTCATCCTGATGTTACACTCATCGAGACCTTTCATTTGAGTACCCACATCAATTTTTCATATATTTCATATATTTATATATATGTATATATGAAAAATATATCAAAAATGCATGTGGGTACTCAAATGAAAGGTCTTGATGAGTATAACATCGGAATGAGCTTATATCTTTAAAAATGTCAATATTTAAGAAAATACAGTACAATTTAACGAAAGTCATTATTCAATAAAGCAAAATTTTAATCATTTGTAGTTCACAAATCACGACTAGTTCTCTATTAATAAAACAATAATTAATTTTTTCTTAATTTTACTAAAATAATAAATCTCTAAAAACTATTTTTTTTTTTTTATAGTTACAAATTATTTAAATTTATAACTTGGAGTCTATATACCTATAATACTATTTATTATTTTTATAACAGTAAATATTTTTTTTATAACACTAATTTTTAACTTCCTAAATTTACTCGATTACTCTATTAATTTTTTTTTCATTTTTTTTTTTTGGTAATTAATTACCAATTTAATTAATTAACAATTTATTAATTGTTCACTCAGCTGTTTTAAAATTAATATCAATAAAAGCAAAAGAAGAAAAAAATTCTATGAATTAACAGCATTTACAAGAGATCATTTAAATAAACAATTTGCCGAAAAATTAATACTCTGTCTAGGTAATTAATAATTAATTAATGATATATACACCGTAAATTAATTAATTAATTTTTAAATGAATGATTGATAAAATATTATAAATAAAATATCGAATAATTTTGTCAACGATTGTTATAATTTTTTTTTTTTCGAATATTTAAATTTTAACGAAGAATAATTTTCTTATAAATAAATATGGAAATAAATAAATTTTAGTTGCTCGTTGAGTAGTTTTAATTCTTAACAAGTTACTTGTCAATTATTATGTTGTTCTCGGGTCATTTTTTTCCTTTGAACCATTTAGCTTCTTCAGCTATTCGGTCGAAACAATCTTGAAGATATATATACTGTAACAATAAAATTTTAATTGATATTATATAAATTTTAATGTTAATAGTTATGTGAGCAATTTAAACCTATCATTTTTTTCTCCATCAATATCTTCAATATTTTAGCCAAAAAAAGAATTTTAAACTGTTGAAAATTACGGACAAGTCCTTAAACTTAATTTTTTAATTAAAAATTCAAATTTTGGCCAAAAAATTAGAGACAGGGCAAAATTAACAAGGAGCTATGTTTATATTTTCAATATTTTACCAAAAAATAACACTTTAAAATTACGGACAAGTCCTCAAACTTGATTTTTTTAATTAAAAATTCAAATTTTGGCCAAAAAATTAGAGACAGGGCAAAATTAATAAGGACCTTTTTAATATTTTACCCAAAAATGACATTGAACATTTTAAAATTACGGACAGGTCCTCAAATTTGATTTTTTAATTAAAATTCAAATTTTGAAAGAAAATTAGAGATAGAGAAAAAATTATAAGGACCTTTTATAATAGAAAATAAAATTTTCTATGAAAAAGGTCTCATGGTTTATTCAATTTTTTAATATTTTAGCCAAAATTAGCAATTTAAACTTGTAAAACTACGGACAAGTCCTTAAACTTGATTTTTCAATTAAAAATTCAAATTTTGGGCAAAAAATGAGAGATAGGACAAAATTAACAAGGATTTTTTTAATATTTTCAATACTTTACCCAAAAATGACACTTTAAACTTTAGAAAATTACGGACAGGTCCTTAAACTTGATTTTTTAATTGAAAATTCAAATTCTGGCCAAAAAATGAGCGATAGTGCCAAATTAACCAGGACCTTTTTTTATATTTTCAATATTTCACCCAAAAATGACACTTTAAGCATTTTAAAACTACGGACAAGTCCTTAAACTTGATTTCTTTATTGAAAATTCAAATTTTGGATGAAAAATTCAAAATAGAGCAAAATTGATAAGGATTTTATTATAGAAAATTAAATTTTCTATAAAAAAGGTTTCATAACTTTTCTATATTTTCAATATTTTACGCAAAAATAGCATTTAAATTCTTAAAAATTACGGTACAAGTCCTTAAACTTAATTTTTGAATTAAATATTCAAATTTTGTAAAAACAATTATAGATAGAGTTATAAATTGATAAGGACTTTTTTTTAGCAAAAATTAAATTTCCTAAAAAAAATGTCCGATCCAATTTTTTTATATTTTCAACCCTAGCCCTATAACCAAAAACTTTACTAAATATTGATCTTTTTAACATTTTTAAACTAAAATTTAATGTAATGTAATGCTTTACTTAATTGATCGTAGAACTATGTCCCCTGTTGACGATAAGGTTACAAAAATAATAACAAAAAATAAAAAATACTTACATAAGGAGTAAAAACCTTCAACCATCTAGGAGGTCGATTATCAGATCTAGTATACTGAAAGCAAAAAGCCATTCCTTCCTCATCAATTTCCCACCTAGTAATATTCTTCCACAAGAACTCCACAACCTGACTCTCCAGAGTTCCATCCTCCTTAGCAGCATGAAGCTTAAAGGAATTAGCACCCACAGCAGCGACAACATGTCCCTCCTTTCTGGAGTCACAAGGACAATGAGGAAAGACAATATCTCCGTACCCATTAAGCTCCTGGGCCAGTTTCAAGTACTCGTGTTTCCTGGAAGCGTCTTGAAGAGTCTTCAGCTGATAAAGTCGTTCCCCAGCAAAGATATGTCCGCGGTTGACTTCATCAATGGTCTGCCAGAAGATCCAAGTGAGCGCCTGGTCACTCAACGAAGTCCGGGTCAAGTTGAACAGCCACCGTCTGATTGACAAGCAGGTTCTGTTAGCTGTGGAGTAATTAGCGACGTAAAGAGCGTGAGGATGCTCATGAGGTTGGAGCTTGCGTTCAAAATTATACTCCACTTCCTCGAACAGGTAGAAGTATTTAGCAGTGTCATTATCCAAGCCTATCTTATTGCAGATCACCTCGTAGACGTCTTTAGCGATCGCCGCTTTCGGGACAGTCACTGTTAAAAATTCCCGGTCGGGTAAAACTATCTTCAGGTCAACTGCTGACAGTCCTTGGTCGCCGTCGTCTTCCAGGCGGCCGTAGAGGAACTCTTGCATCGCGTCGCTCTCGTTGATCACCCGGACAGCGCAAGTTTTTTCCAAGTAGAGTTCTAGGGCGCGCCGTCGCGCGTCCAGTTGCTGCTCGCTTAATTGAAACGGCCACTTGCCTGGAAGCTTGGGGAAGTTGAAGCCAATAAACTCTTTCTTAAGAGCCATGTGGAGCGCTGCGAATTCACGGTAGCGCCGGGAACAGAGCAGGCGGCCCGCCATGTAGATGTTGAACACCACGTAGCGCTCGTGCTTACGTTCGCGGACATGGTAGTCTGGAATGCTTATTGGGAGTGATCTTTTTTCACTGTAGTCTATTGAGGCGTAACTGCAATCAAATTTTGCGTTAATAAATAATGAATTTTAAATTGCACTGTACTTTAATAAATATTGACGATTTTAAAGATATAAGCTCATCTTGATGTTACACTCATCAAGAGCTTTCATTTGAGTACCCACATGCATTTTTTATATATTTTTCATATATACATATATATATAAAATATATGAAAAATTGATGTGGGTATTCAAATGAAAGGTCTCAATGAGTGTAGCATCAGGATGAGCTTATATCTTTAAAAATGTCAATAGTTGGCAAGATACAAGGTCATTTCTTAATTATTGACATTTTAAAAGATATAAGCTCATCCTGATGTTAGAATCATCGAGACCTTTCATTTGAGTACCTACATGATTTTTTTGTATATATTTTATATATATATATATATGGTATTTGTGAAATATATGAATATATAAAATATATGAAAAATTGATGTAGGTATTCAAATGAAAGGTCTCGATTTATATCTTTAAAAATGTCAATATTTTACAAGATACAAGGTCATTTCTTAATTATTGACATTTTTTAAGATATAATACATATTATATCTAGTTAGAAAAAAAAATAAATTAAGATATATTTTATGTCGTTCAAAAGTCTATTAATTTACTCTAATTTTATATTAATATCGCTAATAGTTTGTATCTAAATATTTTTTTATAGTCCCGGGACCAGAATGACCCTTTTATTTAAACTAATTAAAAATAATCACTGGTCTATTCACATGACCAGTTACATAACATACCTTAAATCTTCACATGGCTCCAATCGTTCAGCTTCTTGCGGAGTTACCGAAATAACGGTCAATGTCAGTACATCACCGCCTGATTTAATTAAATCAACAACTTGCTTGTGAGTCGCTCCCTCGACATTAATATTATTTCTGTAATAAAAATCAAATTTTAATTCATTTATAATTTTTCACAACAAATTTATGATATTAAAGTTAGTAATATGACATTTAATTATTTTTAACAAATAAATTTGTTCCAAAAAATTATTTTCTAAAAATTTCTACATGATACTAAAGTTAGCCGAAGTTTTTAATTTTTTTTTTAATAATTAAATTGGAATAAAAAAATATTTTTAAAAAATTGCACTTACAGTTTTTTTTTCTTTTTTTTTTGTAGTCATTTTTTCAATAAAAAAAATTCTTTTTAATTTTAAAATTTTTTTTTGCCATAAATAATTTGTTAAAAAAAAATTATCAAATATTCGCTAAATTAATTTTAATAAATTTTTTGTAAAAAAATTTTGACAGCTGTCAATAATAAAATAATAAAAAACTTACACTTCTAAAATCCTATCTCCTTTTCTAACTCCAGCTTTTTCAGCAGCACCATGTGGCAAAACAGCACTGACATGCTGAAGGGGTGCATATAGTTCACCATTGATACTACGTAATTGTCCACCTTCACTAACTTGACCGCGTACATTAAACCCAAAACCAGTTTCTGTTTTATAAATTGTAACGCAGCGTGGACCCTGTCCTATGGGATCACCACCAATAACACCTTCTCCACCTTCACCTCCATCTCTTCCACCTCCTCCTAAACCAACACCAGAATTATTATTCAATTTATGCTGGCAAGGTACGCGTCCATTTATCATTGTTGTCGTTATACCACCAGAATTATTTATTCCGCAATCATTGCAAGATGTATTGTCTATTTCAGAACCACAATCCGCCATTTTTCGCTATTTTAATTATCCTTTAACAATTTTTACATTTCTAATTATTAAATTCACTTTAAAATAATTATTCACTTTATTATTTAAACACTTGTTTTATTTTTTATTGATTTATTTTTTTAATTACACTTTAACTTTAATTCGGTAAATTTTTTATTGAAAAGAATTTTTTTTTAGCGAGTTGCGCAGCCACGACGACTCACCAATCGATTTTGATTTCATCACTAATATATATTTATGTTTACTTTTTTTTATTATTATTATTGTTTTTTTATATTGTTTAATTATTGTTATCTAATAGTGATTGTTTTATTGTTTTTATTGTTTATTTTTTAATATTTATTACACTTATTGTTAAGAGAAACATAAACGTCAACCGGCGATAAAAATTTTAACTTTTTTTCCTCTGGGAATTCTGTTTTATCTTATGAAATTTGAAGACCTCTGGCGGGAATTATTTAAACTAATAAATCCGCGATTTTTATAATAATAATAACAGTTATAATAATAATATTATTATTAGTTTTAGTTTTTGGCTTAAGAATATTTTTAATAATAATAATAATAATAATAATAATAATAATAACAACAACAATAATAATTTAAATATTGTTATTATTAATTTTTTACTTAAAAATAATTTTAATAATAATAAATTAATAAAAAAATAATATTTAAAGAAGATAAAGGAATTTTGGCTTTATTTAAAAAATTTTTGCTCAAAAGTTTAAAGTACAAAATTAATAAGGACCTTTTTGTAGGAAATTAAATTTTCTGTAAAAGGTTTTTTATGATTTTTTTGTATTTTCAAAATTTTATCCAAAAATAGAATTTTAAACTTTTGAAAACTATGGATACATTTTAAAACTTTATTTTTGGAGTTTAAATTAAAATTTTGGAGAAAAAAATAAAAAATAAGGCAAAGTTAATGATCTTTTTATAGAAAATTAAATATTCTATAAAGAAGGTCTCATAATTTTCTTTTTAATTTCAATATTTTATCCAAAAAGGACATTTCAAACTTTTTAAAACTATGGATAAGTTCTATAACTTGATTTTTTTAATTAAAAATGATAATTTTGGAGAAAAAATAAGAGAAAAAATCAAAATTAATATAATACTTAAGATAGCTGAGGTATTTAATTTTTTGAATATTTTTTAATAATTAAATTAGAACTAAAAAATAGTTTTTAAAAAATTGAACTGATAGTTTTTCAAGTTTTTTTACAAATTCAATTTTTTTTTTCATTTTTTTGTTATAATTTTATCAATAAAAAAAAATTCTGAAAATTTTTAAATGTCGGCTAACTTAATTTCCATAAAATTGAAAATTAAATTTTCTATATAAAAGTCTCGTATAATTTTTTAAACTTAAACATTCAAAATTTGAACTAAAATGTTTTTTTCTTAATAAACAAATAATGTTTATAAAATAAAATAATAATAATTATTATTATTATTAAAGATATATATATATTTTTTTATTGAAGCCCCTTTAACCATAAAATTTTATAAAAAATATTTCATTATATTAAAAAATAAAAATAATAATTTTTTTATAAAAATCACCGGAGAGAAATATTTTAATAAAATATTGTTAAAATTAACGAGGGCAAAGAGCATGACGACCACCATCAACTGGAAGAGTAGCTCCTGTAATATTAGAAGCGTCATCACTAGCAAGGAATGCGATAGTTTTAGCGACTTCATCAGCCTGTCCAGGACGACCAAGTGCATGAGTAGTCTTGCTGCGCTCGAAAAAGGCGCTCAGTTCTTCTGGAGACATTCCACTGCGCTCGTGTAAGTTTGTAATTACAACTCCTGGGTTAACAGCATTAACACGGACTTGCTTGGAGCCTAGTTCAATAGCAGTGCAACGGGTAAATTGGTCAACAGCTGATTTGCTCATGCAGTATGCTAGAACTCCTGGGAATGATCTTAACCCATTTACGCTGGAGACGTTCACGATGTTACCCTTGGTTTTTATTAAATGAGGGACTGCTAGCATTGTCAGCTGGTACATTGAACGGACATTGAGATTAAATACTCTGAAAATATTAATTTAATTTTTAAAATGACAGCTGATAATTTTTTAATTAATTAATTTTACTTTATTAAATAATAACTTTTGTTAAATTGCACTGTACTTTCTTAAATATTGACATTTTTAAGGATATAAGCTCATCCTGATGTTACACTTATCAAGACCTTTCATTTGAGTACCCACATGCATTTTTGATATATTTTTCATATATTCATATATATAATATATATAAATATATAAAATATATGAAAAATTGATGTGGGTACTCAAATGAAAGCTCTCGATGAGTGTAACATGAGGATGAGCTTATATCTTTAAAAATGTCAATATTCCTCAAGATACAGGATAATTTCTTAATTATTGACATTTTTAAAGATATAAGCTCATCTTGATGTTACACTCATCAAGACCTTTCATTTGAGTACCCACATGCATTTTTGATATATTTTTCATATATTCATATATATAATATATATAAATATATAAAATATATGAAAAATTGATGTGGGTACTCAAATGAAAGGTCTCGATGAGTGTAACATCAGGATGAGCTTATATCTTTAAAAATGTCAATAGTTCACAAGATACAAGGTCATTTCTTAATTATGTATCAATTTTTTAAATAAATTAATTGCAATAAAAAAAATCATAAATTTTAATAAAAATCAGCTGATTCAAAATTTATTAAACTATTATAATAAAAAATAAATTACCTGTCATACTGATCCAAGCTGGTATTCTCAATACCGCCACGTTCAATAGTTCCAGCATTGTTAATCAAAATATCCAGCTTACCAAAATGTTTAATAGTAGACTCAAGAATCTTTTTAGTGTCATCTTCATTAGTCAATTCTCCAGTAATTAAGAAAGGCTTGCGCTCTTTATTACACTGGTCTGCAATTTTCTCCAAGTTTGTTAAATTCCGGCCGGTGAGAGACAGTGAAGCTCCTAGGTGAGATAAATGAATAGCTGTGGCAGCTCCAATTCCAGAACTTGCTCCAGTTATTAAAACAACTTTTCCCAAAAATGCCATTTTTTCAATTGTTAAACTTTTTAACAATTTATTTCAATTATTTCTGTAAGTATTTTATTATTTAATTTTTGTATTAAAGATAACCTATAATTTTATCAGTCTTACCGGTTTGACGCGCAATTTCAATATGGCCTCAATTCGTATGTATATATATTTATATATACACATATATTTACATAAAATAATAATAATTATTATTTATTTGAGATAAGAAAATAATCTTATTAAAAATTGACAAGGAAAAAAAATTTCAATTTTTATTTTCTTTTAAATTTTTTTATTAAAATATTTTTAATAACAATTTTTCCCTGCAATTATAATTTAATTATTAAAACATTACAATAAACTTACCTTTGTACTGTTAAAATAAATATTAGTATAATTAGTGACAATTTTTAAGTTATTAAATTTTGGGGAAAAAAAAAAATTTTTTTACTTTTTTAAAAAATTAATCCTTGAAATTTTTTAATAAAAATTTTTTAAAATCTAAAAAAAAAAAAATTAATATTAATTTTTTTAAAAAATGAGCCGACAAGAAAATTTCTGCCCAGCACTAATTAATAAAATATGACCAAGACTAATATAAATGTTAAAATATATAAAGACATCCCGAATTTGAAAATTTGAAAATTTCAATATCAACCTAAAGACCTGATAAATAAAAAAAAAAAATAATTAACAAGATAAATCGTCAAGTCGAATAAATACTGCAAAAGATTAATTAGACTATCTTGTGGATGAAAATTCATCGAGACACGACTTACCATTTAAGTGACTATAAAAATTTAAAAGAAGAATTAAAAAGTTTTAAAAAGTCCCTTTCGGAAGAAGCCAACGATCCAGATATTATAGCAAGAAAAAAAAATTAATAATTCTCACCTGAATGATGAATAGACACTACAATTACAGTCTTTGGACTGTCAAGTAGTTTGAGAAGAAAAACCACCGAACATCTTCTTGACAGACTAACTCTTCAAACAATAGCTGATAAAAAAATAACACACACACCAACCAGTTCAAATTTATCTCAAATTCAAGTCAACAAAAAAAGTTTTTTATTTATTTAAGTTTTTTATTAAAATCAATGACTAATTATGATATATCATGGTTACACAACAGTTGCTTTATTAAATACAATTGACAAGTGACGCTAAGTAAATCCATCTATCAATCTGTTGATCCATAATATTGTTAAATAAACTCCTCGAGGAAAATATATATTTAAGGACGTTAATAAGGTACGCTAAATAATTTAACGTCCTTAAATAATCTAAGTCGATGATCAACAAACTAATTTAATACATTGTTAATAATTGCAAGAGCAGTTGAAAAATGAATGGATTCAATTGAACCAGAAACAACGTGACATTATCATCTAAACTCGGTGGACTCCACACAATCTCCATTATAATTCCGATGAATATTTGTTCAGACCACCAGCGATCCTTTATAAAACATTCCAATCCTTCAAAAGTACAATAGTAAAAATAACAAAGTATTCCATCCTTTGGTTTTACAATTTGATGGAATAATCTAAATCTGTTGATAATTGTTGTTGGAGTTGTTTTTAATTACAAGTAACATCGAGCAGGAGCCAAAAGAATATAATTACCAAATAAAACAATTACAATTCTGTTGAATCGATTGCAACCAACCATTGTTGAAACAAATATGACACAGCAAGTTATCAATCAACAGACTTGTTTTTTTTTTACACTAATTTTTTTTTTCTTTTATCATTACAATTGGACACCTTTTGATACACAGTGATTAAATAGTTTTTATAATTATAATTATTTCAATTCAACCGAATACGATACAAACAAAAAGCTCTATCGGATATTTTTTTCAAGCTATCATGGGATACACTTATACATGGTACTTAAATATTCTACAAGTCCAGAATTAAAAAAAAAAAAAAAAAAACTCTCGACAAAATACCTTGTAATAAACTGAGAGTTTTTAAATGCGTCTAGATAAAAAGTAATTATTATTTGATAGAACTGAATGAGAAAAAAATACGACTATTGGAGCAATGAATACTTGTGAATAAAAGTCGATGGAATCAATGGAATAAAATAGTGAGTAAATAATTGAACCATCAACAGACCCCAAATAATCATCAGTAAATCGGAAGATTGTTGATAATCTGATAAATTATTACCAATTGTCTTAAATGATGCGCTGTTAATCTTTAGATTTTTTGCTTGTCAATTAATATTAATACAAATGAGAAATAATTGTGGAATTTTATGTATTGGTGATTACCTTTATAGAGTAACTCTATTAACTTTGTGTTAATCAAGTTAATATATTAGTAAAGTCGTACCTCAATTGCTCGCCCGTCGATTCGTGAACGATTCATCATTGCTAAAATTTATGTTAAGGAATAATAATATAAAAATAAATAATATTAAGGAGTCATTCTGGTTTGTAACTTTAAAAAAAAAATTTTTTTACATTTTTTATCAATGTCTATAATAGTTCCTGTGTAAATTTTTTTTTTTCAAGCACTGAGACCAGAATGACCCAATTAAAAATAATTTTTGGCTATAAATTATTATCAAAGGATACAGACAGCTCTCTCAGCATCCCACTCGGATGCAAAACGAACCATTCCAATATCATTGCCTCTCATTTCAGCAAATTTAACTTCACCAATTTCTTGGCATTTGTCGCGTAACATTTGCCACGTTGTGCTTGGTGGTAACTATCAAAAAAAAAACAATTATTATTATTTTAAAGACAATTTTAAAGATAAGAAATAATTATTTTAAAGACAATTTTAATTACTTACATTGGCAATAACAATAGTATCAGACATAGGTCTTGCTCCATTGCTGGATTGTCGATTAGCATTAGACTGCTGACTCTGATTAGCTGAGAAAACAGCGTTAGCATTAGCCATGCGATCCGAGTCGCGGTTAAAAGCGTCAAAGTCTCCACGACTTCCTCCGTAATTAGAATTGCCGAAGCTACTTCCTCCAAATCCACCCACATCTCCGTCAAGTTTGCCCAAGCCACGTTGACCAAAGGAATTGCTTCCCTGATTGCTGGCTGCTAAGGACGCCTGCAAGCTCGACAGTCCGCTGACGTTTCCAGTAAAATTGTTCAAGTTGGAGGCCAGCTCGGAGGTGAGGGATGAGTTCAGCAGAGATGAAGTCGCTAGATTGTTGCCAAGGCCACTGGCTAAGCTCGCTTGTAACGCTGCTGCGTTTGAATTTGACAAGGCTGATGCTGTAGGATAGAAAAAATTTTTTTATTATAAAAAAATAATAAGACAAATAAAATTTAGACTAAATAATTCAGAAATGACCTTGTATTCTTGTGAACAATTGACATTTTTAAAGATATAAGCTCATCCTGATGTTATACTCACCGAGACCTTTCATTTGAGTACCCACATCAATTTTTCATATATTTTATATATTTATATATACTATATATATGTATATATGACAAATATATCAAAAATGCATGTGGGTACTCAAATGAAAGCTCTCGATGAGTGTAACATCAGGATGAGCTTATATCCTTAAAATATATATTATATATATGTATATATATAAAAATATATCAAAAATATTGACATTTTTAAAGATATAAGCTCACCCCGACATTACACTCATCGAGACCTTTCATTTGAATACCCACATCAATTTTTCATATATTTATATATACTATATATATGTATATAT